GTGGTTCAGGGATTTGAGGGTTTAGTATGTAGGGTTTAGGCTTGTGGGGTTTGCGGTTTTCGGGTATAGCATTTCCCTAAATCCTGAACCCGAAACTGTCGAAATCCTACCCCAGCCCCGAAGCCTACTGAATCTCAAACCAAGACCAAAACCAAAACCCCCAAGCACCGAACCCTCAACCACCCTAAACCCTAAACCCTAAACCCTAAACCCTAAACCCTAAACCCTAAACCCTAAACCCCAAACCCCAAACCCTGAACCCTAATCCCCTTAACTCGAACCCTGAACCCTATAGTACCCTTGTAGCAACCCTTACAAACCCCAAGCCGTATCTCAGAATCTCGTGCCACGACGCTTCTCAGAGTAGTCGAGAGGGGCCGGCATCTTCCCGGTACAGAGGCCGCCTAGAGGCATTTTGAACATTGGGTTTAGGGTTTAGGGTTTAGGGTTTAGGGTAATGTCCAAGGCTCCTAAATGTTTTTGTTTATAAAGGTTTCGAGAAGGGGTACTACCAGGATTGTCCATGAGTGCCACTATAAGGCTTTCTATGAGGGGTACTACAAGGGTTACTGTAAGGGTGCGGGCGCACAGGGCGGTACTTAAGAAGTGTGCGAAACCTGGTGTTGACACGATTTCTGCAAAAAACAGGTTTGTAGCACATACCTGAAACTACTGCAAACTTACGAACATCATCATCATCTCCACCATCATCAGCATCATCATCAGAATCATCACCATGGCCACCATCATCATGACCACCGCCATCATCATCATCATCATCATCGTCATCATCACGTCGCTAAAAGCATCATCATCATCGTCACCGTCTTATTATCAGCACTTTCTTCGTCACCGTCATCATCATTTTTATCAGCATCAACGTCATCATCATTATTACTACCATCATATGTATTATCATCCTCGTAGTGTTCGTCACCGTCATCTTTGCAATTATCATCATCCTCACCACCGTCATGGTCTTCGCACATGGTTGTGTCATAAACAGGCGAACTCGAGAGGATGCGTGACGGCATTTTTTAGTCCCCCCCCCCTCCATCCCCGTTACTCCTGAAGAGCAGCAGAAACCCTGCAAATGTCCTTGCAAACAGCAAAAACGCATGATTTAACCTGGCGCCCTATGCGCCCACTACCTACTATAAGGGTTACCGTGAGGGTTACTAAACGACTATGGAGTTTATTTAGGCTTAGGATTCTCAGGGGTTCAAGGTTTGGGGGTTTAGGCGTTTGGGGTTTAGCATTTAGGGTTTAGGATGGGCAGTGAAGGTTCTGGGTCGAGGAATGCTGACATCTCTGGGCAGGATAGAGGACGCAAGTGGAAAGATGTCAGCAGCACTGTAGCAGGACCCCGGGATTTCAATCTTCGGCTTTAAACCCACACCATAGTCCTAAATCTCTAGATGCTGTTGAAAGCCTGACCCCGAAAGTCCAGCATAGGCTAGTCGTTGAGCCCCCTACGTCACGACTCGCAGGTCCTGAAATCAGAGTCCACTTTCTACTTTGTTAGTCCCCAAAATAGTACGGCAACATCCTCCCCCGGGCTCCACAAAAAGGACCCGAAAAGGAACCCTAAACCCTGAACCCTAAACCCTAAACCCAAAAAAAAGGACCCTAAAAGGGACCCTAATTTGGAGAACTGCCCCACTTCGCGGCAGAGATGCTCAGGGGTGGCAGCAGCTCTCTGCTCTCCTCGTCCTTAATTCTGGGATTTAGGGTTTAGGGTTTAGGGTTTAGGGTTTAGGTTTAGGGTTTAGGGTTTAGGATTCTGGGGAAACTTTCATAACTCAGGTGCTTGAGGTTTAAAATAGGAGCCTGATTAAGAAAACCATGGATCTTGATAAAGGTTCTTAATATGAATCCAAACATATTGGGGTTATAGGGTCAGGGTCTCTTCATCAGCTTCCTACATACCCTAAACCCTAAACCCTAGACCCTAAACCCTAAATTTTGGAGCGTTTAGTACATTTGCCGCGCGTGTCCTTTGAGTCTGCTGACATGTGTGCAATTTTAGACGGCTTGCAGCTATAAGTGCGCCTGCGCAGGTTGTGGTTTGAAGAGCCGAAGGAAGCCAGGGTTGAAAGCAAAACCATGTGCGCTTCGGGTTTAGGGTTTAGGGTTTAGGGTTTAGGCATTTGCCAAACAAAAACGACGGTTCAGTAAATTCACGGATTTCAGCGAAAGCAAGGTTTGAGTAAATTGGTTCTACAAGTTCATACTGAAGCATTCTTGCAAGGATTGCAGAATCCACAAAGAAACACACACACACACACACAAAAATTGGTGGTCTGGAAAAGCCAAATCAGGCCCGATTCGTAAGGGATCTGGCTCCATATGGGGGTTTCAAATAGGGGACCCTGATATAGTACCCTAAATAGTAGGATCCCTGCTATAACGACCCCCAAAGTAAGGTACCCCTTGTCTTCGGAAACTCCCATATTGCAACCTCTCAGCCGGGCCAAACACCCAACCTGCAGAGCACTTCAAACAGCCCAATTCTGTTGGCCTGGAAGAAAACCCTAAACCCTAAACCCTAAACCCAAACCCAGAAACCTCGGAAAAATCGCGCCGATGTTCCGAGCCCACTTGCAGGTAGTAGATGGCCAGGATCATCCAGCAATAAGGCGACAGGTGGCCTTTAGCAGCGTGGCTGATGCCGCGATCCTGCTTTCAGGTGCCAAACATATCAACGACACGCTATATATATATATATATATACACACACATACACGCACACACACACACACACACCAAAAACGCAAGCATGTTTAAGTTTCGACCGTGTTACACTGGAGAATATCGGGGCATCACCTGACTACTTCCTGAATTCTTGGCAGTCCTATGCTGCGACATAGGGTTTTTCGTGCTGGCACCCCCGAGATAACGCCCAGGTACATATTCACCGGAGCGACTAGGGAGGCTTTGACCAACACAGATCAACCCATATATGAAACTCAAGCCCCACATCAAGGTCTGGGCGATGCAGATCGGGGTCGGAAGTTTAGGAAAAGCCCTTCGTGCTTATCGGTGGCATCCCTGCCCCCTGGCTTGCGGCAAGCCCTACGGAGATAACTCTTGACCTTTTGTGTTCATCTCTTCCAACTCCAGATCTGTCCGTCGCGGCCAAACTTGTACTTCTGGTTGCAGTGCATGCCTGTAGTCGACTGGTACCTGATAACTTGACATCCACGGCCTTAATCGTGTCAGCGGTGCCCGGGTTCTGTGCCTTCTAGCTGCAGGCGCGCGAGTTGGGGCTTTGGAGTTTGCACCGCACACGGGCGCAGGGCGGGGTATACAAGTCTACTGCGATATACAACAAGACCCTGTCGTAGATATTACGTCTATCACGTAGACCCTAAACCCCTAAACTCTAAACCCTAAACCCCAAATCCAAAACCCCAAAACCCTACACCCCGAAACCCCAAAACTCCCTGAGCCCAATGTTTTAGACCAAACTTCTGGCTGACGGCTTGAAGTACTTGGAGGTTCATGGGTAGTTATAAGTCGAGTTATAAGTCCCCTAATATGGGGTATAAGTACAGTTTCCCTACTTATAACCCCATACCCATGAACCCAATTTTAAACCCTGCTATAGAACCCCTTTAAAGTAACCCTTAAAGGAACCCCATAACTCTAAACCCTAAACCCTAAACCCTTAAACCCTTATAACCCATATTAGGGACTTATAACTACCCATGAACCCTAAACCCTAAAACCCTAAAACCCTAAAACCCTAAACCCTAAACCCTAAACCCCACTTAGAATTACCCGGTGGAACCTCCAAGTAGCAGTCTCTCCCACCCCTGAAACCTCAAAACTGGCACAAATCAAGGCCCGAGCCGGAGCTTTAAAAAACCAAGGGTTTAGGGTTTAGGGTTTAGGGGTTCAGGGTTTAGGGGTTTGGGGTTTGGGGTTTGGGGTTTGAGGTTTGGGGTTTAGGGGTTTGGGGTTCAGGGTTTGGGGGTTTGGGGTTTAGGGTGTAGGTACGCCACCGGGCCCTTCCCAGCCCCTACTTTCAGACTCAGTGTCGGCCTGGATCCTGAATCTTCCATGCTG